TGGACCTCCTCCCACTGAGTGTATCATGTAAACGTTACCTAATTACTAAATAAAAATGTGTCCTGCTTTATCATTAAAATATTGATTTCTTAATTTTGGGTTGGAAAAATGGGGGTTGTCTTATACATGGGGGTGTCTTATTCATGGAAAAATATGGTATCTTGAAGTATCCAGGAAATATGGAATGTTTTTGCTTGCAGATGTAATAAGTGCATACATAATAAGAAGAGAGAAATGTAGTTTCTTCTTTCTGAAGGGGATTGTTTCAACATACCAAATATGTCACACTCCTTGTAGCAGTCGTATAAGGTCAGAAAATTGTTTGCATTCCCTCCACAACCACCATAAGTGAACAATCTGCACCTCTTGTTGCGGGCATCATAATAATAACGAGGAAATTTAGCCTTGCACCACCCTTTCTTGGCCCATAATCTGCATTTCCGAGGTATATCTGAAAGGAAAACAGGTCTTTTGGAAACCAAAGCTCCTATACATCAACTCTTTTTTGAAATACAGAAGGAATAATGATGATGATGATGATGATGATGATGATGATGATGATGATGATGATGCATCCTGCGACAATACCTTTAATACCATCAAACAACATCTGCCTATCCCAAGTCCTTGGGAAGGACTCAATAGGTGGACAAAAATGCCAAATCCAGTCTAAACATCTGGCTGACTGTGTAACCAACAATAATAATAATACATATTAAGGCCGCCCAATGCTTCAGATTCAATTTGGAAGACTAGCTTTAGCATGCCCAGGAATGTCAATGTGCAGCGCCTGTTGGCAACTCAATAAACCATCTTTTTCTCAGGTTGGATTCATTTAGTGAATCACCAAGTGGTTGGTGATTCACTAAAATGAATCATGGAGCTGCTTTTGAAGGCTACTCAGAAGCTGCACATTGGTCCAGGATATGGCAGCGCAAGTAGTGATGGGCACACCTTGTACACCTGTGTAACGTTTCTGCTGTGTGAGCTACGCTGCTTACCAGTAAACTTCCATGTCCAATTCAAGGCGCTGGTTGTGATTTATAAAGCTCTTCTTGTCATGGGGCCTGGCTATCTGAGAGACTGCCTTCCATTGTTTTGGTCCATCTAATAAGATCTGACAGAGGAGGCATGGTCCCAGTTCCATCTTTAAAACAGTGTCACCTGATGAGATCCAGGTAGCATCACTACTTTATTGCCATGCCTGCCCTTGAGAATAGTACAGTATCTCCCCAGAAGTTTGAATTAAATCCTCAACTCTGCCATCGCTTAAACAGACCTTGAAGATCTGACTTTTCCCCCAGGTGCTAGCAACTCTTCCACTTCCCACAGCATTTCTTCCAAAGCAAATCTAAAGCATTTCACTGCCTTAAGGACAGGGTCAAGGAGCAGATTAAGACCATAATAAACCATCTAGTTCACATGTAATCATCTTGTCCACAAAGTTATAATGAGATTCCTTCTGAGACCAAGGTATGTTACACCCACAACATTCCCTTGGTCTACCAAACTAGTCACTCTACATAAAAAGAGATAAAGGTTAGTCTGACATCATATGTTCTTGACAGGCCCATGCTGGCTCTTGATTATGGTACATTCATTTCTAACTATTCATACACGTGTTGTTTGTCAAACCTTTCTAGTTCTTTGCTCAGTATAGACACTAAATTGACTGATCTATAGCTTACTCCCTCTTTCCTTTTCTGAATTGCGGGACTGTATTTTTCCTGTCCTGGCTTCAAGTGAAGGGAGTAAACACCCATGCAACTGGCAGGCAAAATGCAGGGGTGATGCAGGTGCTTGGGGGTGAGGCTTGCAGAGATGCCGGGCAGGAGAACATGCCTTGTGGAAGGGGCTTAGTAAAAAATGCAGCAAGGAGGGGAAATGAGGGGAGGCACGAGGAGGCTGCTGATACAGGTGGTTGGAGTGGAGCATTTGCAGTGAGGCCTCTGAAGACATCAGGAAGCCTGCCTGGGGAAACACTACCGATGGGCAGGACAGGTGACAGAAAAGGAGATGGGAAGCAGGAGAAAGAGCGTGCATGTGCACAACAGCTTATTAGAGGCTGAGGGGAAGACATAATCCAAGTCAGACAGTCTGTAATCAGAAAACACACAATGTCTTGAAAAGTACCAAGGGAAGAGCCAGAGTCTTGGTCAGAATATGCCAAGGTTGAAAACATAGCAGGAGTCAAGAGCAAGAATATGCAAAGCCAGATGCCGAAGTTGCATTCAACAATAGAAGGCAGTCCCTCCGTGGTTTAAATCTCCCCGCTGAGCGTGTACAGCTGCAGTTTTCCTTGCTCAGCAGTTACCAATAATTGAGGTATCAGGCTTGCTTGCCACTTGCTCATGAGGCCCTTACTTTGACAGGGTGCAGGATTCTGAGGCCAGAGAAGGGGGTTCTCCCTGCTTCTTGGCACTCATGTTGGCTAAACAGGATCAGTGCTGGCTGAGGAGGACCTGCAAGGGTGTCAGTGTTTGATTCAGTGGCTGCTGAATCTGTGGGTGCAGCTCCTGGTGGGACCTGATCTGCCTGTGTCTTGGAACCTGGCTCTGAGGCCATGACAACATTAGTTCTTCTCTGAGAGCTGGACCATAAAGAAGGCTAAGCGCCAAAGAATTGATGCCTTTGAACTGTGGTGCTGGCGAAGACTCTTAAGAGT